AATTAATGTAATATATATTATCATATAAAGACATAATTTTTTTTATTAGGTATTTTGATACATCACCAATAAGAGGTATGTTGCTATAAAGGTGTATGGTGCCATAGGAATAAACATTAGCAAGAAGAAATATGTTGTTGAAAATGTGGGTGGTACTATTGGAAGGAACATCAACAACAAGAATCATGTTGCTAAAAGGTTGTGGACTACTCTCCCCACCTATATTTTGGTGCTAAAAACCACCTATATTTTTTATCAACTTGGATCATGTTGGTGAAAGTATACAATCAGCAACAAATAATATGTTGCTGAAAAGTGGAAAACCACTCTCCCTCCCTAACTTTTACTAACACAAGCCACGTTGCTGAAACCATATTTTCAGCAATGTGACTTTTCTTGCTAGAAATTATGTTAGATTCCGATGTCAGAATTCGGTCATTTTTTTCTCAATTTTTAGCAACATGAGCCATGTTGCTAAAACCCTATCTTCAGCAACGTGGCTTATGTTGCTGAAGAGGGTGAGGAAATTCATCTCCCCTCCCCATCGAATTCCGGTGAAAGTTTTCAGCAACATAAGCTATGTTGCTGATACTTTTTTTTTTCAGCAATATAACTTATGTTGCTGATGTATTAGCAACATAATTTTGGTTGGTAATGTATCACTCACCAAGCCTTCTCCAACAAAACTTTTAGCAATCAAACCCATGTTGCTGAAATATTGCTGAAGGACTTTTAGCAACATGCTTCCATGTTGCTGAAAATTGAGATTTTAGTAGTGTATTATTATGGAATATGATGTGGTATTGGTGGGTCCTATTATAACTAAATTGGAGAAAAGAATAATATGGAAATATATGTTAAATGCCAAACCGTTAGGCTTTAATGGTAAAAAGTGACGGTGTTAGCCATGGAATGGATGGAGGGATGAAATTGATCACTTTTTGAATAGTAGGAGGGCATCTGAGCTCAAAATGAAGTAAAGGAACGACTTGAGGTGATTCCATAGTAGAAGGGTTAAATTGAACTTTTTCACAAAGTAGAGGGATGATAGTTGGCTTTAACCCATAAAATTATGGTTGAGTTGACGTGTGTTAATTTAAAATTTTTAAATTAAGATCAAAGTTAAGTTAAAAGGTTATTCATTAATTTAAAACTTTTAATTTGAAATCAATATTAAAA